CTGCTGAACTTGTCAAAGGGTCTTGTATTTCCCTGCTGTCAGAGCAAATCTTTTGGCTGATTGCTGGTCCTTGGTAAATGAAATCTGAAAGCACATTGGGGCATTCTGCAGTTCAGTGACCATTAATGATCGCCATTTGAAGTTCACTAAACTTCCGGTGAATGGATGGCAGCTAGATAACCAGCAGGTTGATGGCTGCAGAATAACAATACTTAAAAAAAAGAAAAAGAATCCCTATATATCACAACGTTCAGCAAGAAGTAGGTTGATCCAGCTATGTTGCTCCTCTGGGCCACGGGATGAAAGACTTACGGCTCTTTCCCATAGTTCGAGGCTTCTGGATTAGTGTGTTATGAGCTGGGATTCATTGTAATGTGGACATCAAGGCAAGTGGCTGTTCTTCAAGATGAGCCTTCATGTATTGTGCTTCAGCAAATACTGTGATACTAAGTTGAGGGTTGGTGAGCATTTGTGAAGTACCAAGCACAGAGCAGGAGGGAAGTTCTTGAGTGAAGTGTTGCCCTGCCCAGCTCTCTGACAACATGGGCTGGCTGTGCATGTAGGATGAGAGCACGTGTGTTGGGATTGTCTCCCTCTGCAGATGTTCCACTTGGAAAGGAAGGCTCCAGTCTTCCTTCATGTCTTGTGGGGAGGGGATGTGTGGGAGAAATGTTCATTTTCCTCCAACCCCTCTAATCCCTTTAGAAATTTGATGGTTTTGTGACTCTTAAGTATCTGATGCCATGTGACACAGGGTGGTACCAGGGTCCCTGCGCCCTTCTGGGCAGTGACCCAGGTTATAAAGGAGAACAGGGACTTCTCCTGGCCTGTGGCTAAAGAGCTGTCCTACCTGGGGCTTGCTGTTATCCCCAAGTGAGGATTTTTCCATGCTACTCTGGGAGTGTTTGTGGGGAAAGCACCTGTATGTTTTCATGAGAGAGGATTTCCAGACTAGATAGGTAATTTTGGCCAAGCAACAGGACCCCATGGGATCTCAGTGTCTTCTGAGTGAGTTCCCAATGTGAGACAAAGTTGGACAGGAATATAACCCTCCCGCTCTTCCCTGCGTAGCTCAGGTGGCCCCTTTTCCCTTCCCTCTGGCATGTTCCTGACTTAGAAATACCTCCTAGGCTGAGTCTGCCTCTGACCTGATCCATGAAGCGAAGGTGTTGGGGAGGGGGTGGTGTAGAACTGCTGGTTTCTAGGTCATGAATAATGTGGACACTTGGATGTTTCAGATGTCGAGAAAACAGTTGATGTGAGTGTAAATGGCATGTGTTATTAAGAGTAGATTCCTGCAGGGTAGCCCCACCTGTGCCTGCTGTCTGTCCTTTGGGTCTCTTGATTGTGAGCGTTGATACCAAGAGGGCCCTATTGAGCTAGGGTACAGCTGCTGCAAATACACAGCAATGCAAAAGAGTGGAATTATGTACAGGCAGACATTTTTGAGTACCTGTGTGTAGTGCAGTAGCAATAAAATGTTTTCTAGATTCCCTCTGCCCATGCACACTTGGCTTCAGCTTGCTTCTCTTCATACCCATTATGTATCATCTGAAGAAACAGTCGCTGGTTGGGCAGCTGCAGAGGTCAGCATGCTGTCCCTCTTCCTGAGGTGGCACAGTGGTCTTTCCCAAGGTTCATTCTCCAATAAACTCCTTCCCTTGTCACTTCTGTGCTGCAGGAGCAGTTGAGGTGAGCATCCTGTGCCTCCAGGCCTCTCTCAGAGTATTCAAGACTTGCCTCTTGGGTAAGCTGAAGATGGGAATCAGACCCTGCTAGCTGCCACTCTTGTGTTGCCACAGAAAACCATTTTGGATTGATCTGGCTGTGCAGGTGGTGGTGAGCTCCACACTTGACTGCTGTGAAGGTGGCCACAGCATTGTGGGATTTGTGAAAAAGCCTTCTGTGGATGACAAAAGGAGAAAAGCTGCCTGTACACTTGACTGCATTTACTGAAGTTTTACCTTACCCTGTGCCCCCCCTAGCCTGCTAATGCATCACTTCCATCAAGCCTGATCAGTGTTTGCTGACATTTTTAATGTCACTGAGCGATCTTGTATCTCTGGTGAACTGTCAGTGTAGAGCTGACTTGGGGCAGGGAGTTTATCGTGTTCTTCACTTTGATTAGCTCAGCCTTGTGGGAGGGCAGCAGAAAGCAGAACAGGCTTTCTTAGAATGCTGCAACATTTCAGATATCCCCCTAAACCATATTGATAGAGAGCCACCATCCCATCTGCCAATTGTCCTTTTGTGCCTGTCATGTCGATCCACAGAAGCCCCATGGGTTAGGACTGAGGTGCAGAACCTGAGCTGCATCATGGGAGCTGGATGCTCAGGATGTAAGTAGCAAAAAGTGCTTCGTGTCAGGAGCAAGGGGCACCAGTGAAGAAATGTGCGCAGGGAGCAGGAGGCTGTGGGTCAAGATTTATGTGAAAAGGAAAGCTGCTGCAGCTAACGAGCTAAACCAAGCTGCTGCCCCAAGAGTATCCTCAGGTAGCCTGGATAAATTAATTGGTGCTTATTCTAACACAAGGATCAGCTCTCATTCATGGTCCCTGTGCTCTTTCAGGAGCCTCTGTGGTTTATCGTTCCAGGTCGCGCTTGAGTTAGTGGAATGGTCAGTCCCGTGATGGATCCTCACCCCGGGGGATGGAGCCAGGCTGAGGACACGGTGCCTGCGATCGCAGGATGACCGGGAGCCTGGGAATGGGAAACTCGGCGGGCAGCAGGAGTGCCAGCATCGCTGGGTTGGGAGCACATCACAGAGGGGAGAGTGGTTTGATGGAGGAAGGAGGTGGAAGAAGGGCGGTGAAGCTAGATTTTCTGACAATTAGCTTGTGCAAGAAAAACATTAGAAGGATGAGAATGTCAAAATGGCCAGACCAAAGGTATAACCCAGATCCTCTCCATGCCAGAGGCCTGTAGCTGATGCTTGCAGGTGTAAATGTGAATAAACAGAGTATAATTAATGCATAATTAAATAGCAAAACTCATTGCTGCAGGATGCTGTTGAAACTGAAAGCATGAGCAGATTCAGAAAAGGAGGTGAAAGTTTCTGGTAGACAGATGTGGTAAAAACAGTGGATGCTAAACACACCGGTCCAAAGGCAGCAGCCACCTGCAGAGGAAATTGCTGAGAACCAGAGGAAACTGATTTTGATCATGCTCTCCTTGTTACATATCCATTTGACCATATTTGATTTCTGTTCACAGAGGGCAGTATGTCTTTAGATGCATTGACAGTGGATGCTTTAGAGGTGACAGAAAATTGGTCCTAGTTTGACACCTTCCTGAAGTCCAGGAGAAATGTTATGAAAGGCAAGGGTTGAATGACGTGTGGAGGAATGAAGCTTTCCTCATCTGGGCATCAGAAAACAGTTGACAGAGCCTTGGGGAGCACAGCGTGACCATGCTGGGGTGCTGTGGCTGTGTGCAGAGCTGGCCTTTTCCAGGTCCAGCCTTTATTGCTCTGTTCCTAGCTGGAAGCAAACTGTTAATACACATGCACAAATGTTTTAAGGTCACCTACTCACATTGTGAAATCTGACAGAGAAAGCATGTAATAGGATGTTTTTGTTAATATTTGGCAACTAGAAATAAACACATCTTAAACAAACAAACATTTGCTAACAGCTTTTTGTCTCTCCTCTGAATTAACAATTCCATTTGCCTTCAGGGTTGGAGGAGGAGCTCTGAGTGCTTCTCAGGGACTTGGTGCTGAAGTGTCTTGTGCTTTGGATGAAGAACGTTGAAATGGGTGCGGCAGAGAAATGGTTTAATTTTGGTTTAATAT